AGCGCTCCCGGAAGCAACCATGCAAAGACTGGCGGAAGAGGGGCTGCGAGCCCGGGTTGGGGTACGCACCTCCGATGTGTTATTTTGGTCCAGGGTATGTGGTGAAGTTTGCCTGGTGGGGACAGCAGATAAGACCAGGTGTGGGAGTTTTCAAATGACAGCCACCGTGACAGAAAGCTCGATGAGATGGGCGAAGGAGATTCACATTTTATTCAAAAGCAAAACTTCGAGAATGAGAAAGATCCAACCACACTCCTTCCTTTGGGCACTCTGCCATTTAACTGCCGAAGAATGAGCAGAGAGAATGACCCCAGCTGTGTCAAGGTCAAGGAAGCCATCCAACAGACAACCTTCAGGTATCATACCCTCGTGGACTCTAAGTTGTCACAATGTCCTGTTTTTGAGGTATTTAAAAAAAAATTGTGACAGTGAATGATGTAAAATGGAGCTTCCTGTCAAGTTGTTCTTGAAAGTTACATCAGCTTATGTGGACACAAGGAGAAGTTTAGCACCAACTAAAAGCGGCCTTGGTGGTTTGGAGGGACAAGGAAGCACCTGCCTTTAGTCTCAGCACCAGGAGCTACCAGTGAGCGGCAAGAACCAAGGCTTGCCCGTCCCGTCCCGTCCCTGCCGGGGCCAGGTGAAGACACTCCCCCTGGACCTCAGCCTGCCCCCTCTGGGGTTAGCACCCTGGGCCACAGGAGAATACCTGCCACACTAGAAGAGGCAGGGGCCCTGACTCTCCTTCCTAAAAGCCACCTCCCCGTTTCTAATATGGCCTGAGAAGATAGCACAAACCCACAGTGCCTACCCAGCCAGGCAGGCCACTGCCGTCCTTGTAAGGAGCAAAGGAACAAGCTGCCTTCTCCGCGCGCCTCGCTTTGGCCACCAAGGGGAACAAAACAAAAATAAAATAAAAAAAAAAAAACAAAAACCAAGCCAGAACACTGCTCCGAGCAGACACAGCACGGTCAACAGGTCTACCAAGACAGCACCAAAAGAGAAGGAAAGAAAAGCCGAGAGACGGAGCCCACCTTGTTTTTGGTTGGTTGTGGTTTCGAACGTTGATAGCACCTCAGGGAGACAAGATCGGGGACAGTCACATTGAAACACCATAGCACCATTTATTAGACTATTTCAATTCATAAAAATGCTTCCAAGTCCAGAAAACACACTTCAGTAACAAAAGGAAGGAGGCTGGTTGAGGCACGTCAGGGATTGATCAGTTTTCCACCAGCTTGGCCTTGCTTGGACGTCAAGAGGCCGTCAGGAAAGTCCCCTCGCTCTGTGACACTAGGTTTTCAGCTACTGTCAACCACCCTCACACGTCCACCACCATCAACTACGAAGCAGCAGAGCCCAGCTACCTCTGTCCCCCCTTAGCACACTCGAATCCCTCGCTCTGCAAACTGTTTCCCCAAGAGCAGGTGGGAGGACCAGAGGAGGCAGAATCCCTTCCCCGGGCACCAGGGCCACCTCAGCGAATCGGCAAAGCAGCGCCCAGGAGGGCTGGGGGACCAGACCCCAAACCGAGCCCTCTGACCTGGGCGACACCCTCAGTGGAGCTACCGACAGGTGGTCTCTTCAGCTAGCACCAGTTATTTCATGAGAACCTGCTGCAGAATGACTTTTATTCTGAAAGAAAACCTCTCGGGGTAGAGCTTCCCGAGTCCTCTCGCACACACCGGGCAGGGAGAACGGAACAAGACAAAGCAGGGTGGGGGCGGACGGGGCACCGAACGCTTGCACTGCACGTGGACTGTGGCCGTGGACGGGCACACTGGGAGCGGACTCCAAGGCCGTCACCTCCCTTGCTATAATGGTACTTTCTCTAAAACTCGCTCATGCTGTCAGGTTCTTGAGTTGCAATGGCTTTATTTTTTATTTTTTTTCTTCTTCTCATGATAAAAATGTCTTGTCAATCATCTTCAGGACTTAAAAAATGATAGTGCCAGTAAAAAATAAAAATTTTGATTTTTCTCTTTAAGAAGCCTTCAGCAGCAAGGGGTGGGGGGTATAGAACTGTGCATAGTTACGTCTTAAATACACGTCTAAAGCATGCTCATTTCAATGACAGATTTGAGGTAGGTTATACATGTAGTGTGTGAAAATCAGCACGGGCTCAAGCACAGCCACAGCACTGAGCCCTGGAACAGCGCTCGCTGGGACCTGAAAGGCCAACACAGAACGCCTCTTGCCTCACCTCACCTCACAGCAGCCCGTTTCCCGGCCTTCTAGAGCTTATGAACCAAGGCTGTGCAGGCTTGGGGGATGGACGTCACATGCTTTTTAGCTTGAACTGGTTTCTCCATTCATCTGATGGCTTTGCTACCAAAGGGTGAGGAGGGCTGGAGCATACTGAATACACGTCGGAGAGATCCACACACCGCCAACAGCAGACGCACCTGGGCCACACCTGGGACCTCGCAAGCTAACAGCCAACCTGGGGCTTCCACGGGCCGTGTACACGGTCACATTCTCCAAATGCTTTGTAAAATATCATATTTAAGATCATTTAAAATGAAGTTTTTCAAGGCACCCCCGCGTCTACCTAAGCACGGAGTCCGATGAGACCTGCATAAAAGTACTGATGCGATTAAGCAAAATAGCATTTAAAGGACCCAATTCTCCCTCAAAACTAGAAAATTAGCATGCGCCTTAAAGCCTCTGACTCCTTAGCTCGTCAAACAGAAGGTCAGAGGCTTTCCTATAAATCTGAATTCTGAATAATTCTAAATCCTGATAAGCTCTTGGGTATTTATTTCAAAAGCAATAATATTTCATTTTTTTCTGTCCTGTAAAATAACTGCAACTTTACAGAATATGGTGAAGGTGGATTGACAAAGCACATTAAATATTCAGCTACTATTTACAGTTTCTCCCACAATTACATGTTAAAATGTACTTTTTATTCTTTTCAAGTTGCTGTTTAAATCTAGGCAAAAGTGCTTAAAAAAATCTTTTCACTATTTACAGTTAAAACCAGACCACAAAAATGCTCAGGACACCTTTTAGCCACTCTCTGCCAGTGCTTCCGAAGGGCTACAGTCAACACCCAGCCGCTCGGCTCTCAGCTCTGGCACAAGGCACCGCGAAGCTCGGGGACTCGGACCTGCCTTCAGCACTGCCACGGGATTGCTACGCTCAGTTTATGAAGACCACACCTGGCTAGAACTACTTGATCACTGCTGTCTCGGGGACCGGCTGCTACTCCGCGTGTGTCCCGATGAAGCCCCCCACTCAGCACACACGTCCACGCGAGCAGCTGGATGATAACATGGCTAACAGCATCAGAAAACGAACGCACACTCCGTGAACTCCGACACGCTGCAGACCAGCGCCTCGTCCACCTGTCAGGCCCGGCCTCTCTCAACAATGTCACAGAAATGAAAAAAGCACCAACACTCTCCTTTCAAAGATCTAAACGAATGCACCAGGATTTCAGAACAGGTGTGTGACAGGGGAGGTGAGGAGGAGAGGAAAGAGAGAGATCCAATGGAGAACTGGCCCCCGCAGGGGAGGAAAGCATTAGCAACCTGTTGAAAACGCCTGACCCTTGCACTTTAAAATGAAGCGTAGGCCATGCCCTGTGAGGGCCGGAGGACTGCACCATTGTCCCTTGTGAAGGTCCAGGAATAAGGACGATGAGTGACCTGCCATCACACGGGCTTGCTGAGCTCTGGCAGGACGCCACCTGCCCTGAGTCGGGAAAGTCCCAGCACGACACTACAGCACCAGGCTCCAGCACCACACAGCACCGCACTGCACCGCACCGCACGCCGGCTCTTCACAGCTTGGGTTCGACTTCTTGTTTTCAAAGATACAGTAGCCCTTTTTCAGTATCGACAAACTTTGGGGCGATTTTTTAAAAAAATGCCACTAAGCTTCCTTCAGCCCGGTCGGTCCTCACTGGCTTTATCAATGAGATGGGAAGGGCTCCTGAGGAGCCTCTCGTTCCTGTCCGGTGTGAGGGGCTGCCTAGCGAACCAGGACATCATATGACTTGATAAATAACGGACAGAGAGGATTCAGTGTGGAGACTAGCAAGCTTGAAGCCGCCTACTTCCAAACCTGGTTTCGGGGATCTCTATAACACCAGCATCTCCAGGCCGGGCCCCCAGAGGTCTACAGCTTATCCCATTCCACAGAGGGGAACGGGGTGGTCCCAAAGGCTCCCCGGCCTGTGGGAAGGAGGGACAGACCAGGGCTGCATGCTAACCTTGGTTTGTGGGGGGCAGATGGCTGGGAGAACCTGCCGCTCCCAGGAGGCTGGGCTCACCCGGCAGGAAGCACTACCTGCCTTTCCTGCCATCTGTAACCATTGCTATTGTTGCTTAAAAACAAAAACAAAAAAAAACCCAATAAATACACATTTTAAATGGAATTTAAAACTACGCTCCTTTGTGAAAGGACACTATAAACTTTCTTTCCATTATTGTGATATACAAGGATAAAGTTTTAAAAACAAAGAGAAAATAAGAGCCCCTCAAAACAAGGGAAGAAAAAAAAATCAAACAATGTGGAGATATAAATATTAAGATCACCAAAAAAAAAAAAAAAGAAAGAAAGAAAGAAAAAAAAAAATCACCCGACAGCCGTAGTTTCTTCTTCAAAGTGCTGGGGAAGTAGGAGAGAGAGGGGCGGGTCAGTTCTGAGGTTTGGACCATAAATACATATATATGATAGGCATATCCATATATGTAGATATAGAGAGACTTCTGCACCCCCAACCCGCCCCCGGGCATGAGGGCAAAAGCACCAGAGGCAGCTCGGGCCGGGCCCGACGCTGAGGTACGCTGGCTCCCGGCACCTAGATCCAGCGGCTGTAGGGGCCAGTGACCTTTGTGTAGGCGTAGGAGGACACGGTGACCGCAGAGTCCGTGGGCATGGCCAGCGCCTGCCGGGTGGGGACAGCCTTCTTCTCTTTGTGCTGGGGCTCAGACACCATAGCACCCCCCCACTTGCGCTTCTTCCCATAGAGCTTGGCCTCCTGCGGGCCCAGGCCCAGGCGGGCGGCCTCCTCCTGCCGCTGCCGCGCCCGCTCCGCCAGCTGCTTCATCTTGGCCTCCCAGAGTGCCAGCCCGTGGTTGGGCTGGTTGAGGTTCTTGTGCTGGTAGAAGACCAGCGAGATGCGGGTGGGGTGGCAGCGGTTGGGTTTCTTGAGTGGCGTGGTGGCATGCAGCTCTCGCCGGGCACACTCGATGAGGATGGAGCAGTGGGCGGGGGCCACGGCCACGCCGCCAATGTTCTCGTCCAGGAAGTTGTGTTCACTGTCTGACCACAGCTCCTCCTCTTCCTCCTCCACTCCGGGGCCGCTCTTCTCTTCCTTCACCCCCTTGCTGGGGGGCTCCTCAGCCGTCCCCTCCTCCAGGCTGAAGGGATCCCACAGCTTCTCCTCTGCCTTCAGGGCCCCGAAGAGCTTCTCACTGGAGCCCAGGGGCATGCCAAAGGCCTGCCAGGCCTGGTCCAGCTGGCTGGGCCCCGGCGTGGGAATCCTTCCTTCCTCGACTTTCACAGGATTCCACAGCTTGTCTTGGAACCCAGGACCACCTTTCAGGGCAGAGTTGAAATCCCCTGATCCGACCCCCCACGGCTTCTCAGTCAGGCTGGAACCAGTCAAGGCCGAGGTGCCGTTTCCAAACTTGCAGGGGCTCCATGGCTTGCCCCGGAGCCGCCCTCCAGGATGGGGGGCGGCCTGCTGACCTTCACCAGCGAACAGTCCCCACTGGCTCTCTGGGAAGTGTGAAGGGGTCAGACGGCTGGCCCCGAAAGAATTGAGCTTGTCTGGAACGATGGTGGGACTTTCCCCGGAAGGGAACACTCCCCAGTTGCCGCTCACACCGTTAGTCCTCTTGGGGGACATGCTTGGGCCTCCTGAGTACTGTCCCCATAGGTGACTGGGTCCCCCATTCTGAGATGCCTCGGGCAAGGGTGTTCTGCCCATCTTCCCAGAGTCTCTGGGCATGGACTCGGCCTGGGTCAGAGGGTCCACTGGCTCTTGCTTGATGGACCTGTTGTAGCAACTGGAGCTCTGAGCAAAGGGAGAGGGGTCCCTGGATGCCGGGTGGAGCTGGGGGACCTTGGGTAGCAGGTATTCCTTGGGGCCTGGGTAAGCAGGCTGCTGGTGGTGAGGGGTGGGGTGGTGGGCGTCTGTGGACACAGCCTGGCCCGGCAGCTCGGCAAATTCAGCACCGCCGTAGGCCGGGTTCAGGCCGCTGTGTAGAGCATGGAGGTCTGGCTTCTTCTCAAAACTGCCTCCACTGCCCCCGTGCGCCCAGGCACTGGGGCCCAGGAACTGGGAGGGGAAGACAGGGTTGCTGGACGGAAAGCCATAGTAGCCGAAGGAGGGAAGGGGGTACTTGGAGTGGAAGCCATTGACGGAGGCCAGGCCGGGCTGTGCATAGCGAGAGTGGTAGGAATACACGCTGCTCATGCTGTAGGGGTCGGAGGGCCGGCAGCTGCCTAGCACCGAGTAGCTCTCCACCACCGCGTTGCCGCTGTACTTGAAGGAGCTGAAGTGGTTCTGCGGCTCCACCTTGAGGGAGGGCTTCAGGCTTTGCTGGGACAATGCACCCTTCAGAGACAGGCCTGGGGAAGGCAGAGGGCAAGGTGGAAAAGGGGGCAGACACCACAGCCTGGCCAGGTCTAGGTGCGGAGGATGGGGGGGCAGAGCCTCCTTCCTTGCCTGAGAGGTGTTTCCTCGGCAGAGTCAGGATGGACGCAGTGTCTAAGGGAGTTCAAACCCAGCCTGGACTTGCTCCCTGGGCACCCCCCCACTCCCCCTCAAAGACCCCAAGGTGAAGAGAGAGAGCTTGTGGAGAGGCCATGTCCTCTCTGCTACCGCTCTACTGTCTGGCCCCAGAAAATGCCTTCGTTTCAACTGAAGCTCACCTTCCCAAGTGTGGGCTTAGGGCCACAGCAAGGCCTGCTTGCTGCCAAGGAGGAATGGACGCTCAGACACCCCCAGCCCACTCTCTAGGGTGGGCTCTGAAAGCATGGTCTTCTCCCCAGACACCGTGAGAGCACACTGGAGAAGCCGAATGCTGTGTCCAGGCGCTTCACAGGATGCCTTTCTGATGGGCAGAGTGAACCACCTCAGGACCTTCCCTCCTCCGCGGCCAGTGTGACGACGTGAGGTGGGGGGTGACGCCCACCCCTGTCTAGTGAGCAGCACCCCTCTGCTTACCCGGGTCGGTGGTGACGCCAGCCAACTCCAAGGCCTCCTGCTTGATCTTCTCCGGTGTGCTCAGCTTCTCCTTCTGCAGCTTCTTCTTCTCGGCCGCTGCCTTCCTGGCTTCTAGCTGCCGTTGGCGGCAGGACTTGGCGGGCTCGGGCAGACGCCGGACCTCTCGAGGGAAGGCCGTGAGCACCTGGATGGCCCCGCTGCTCACCTTGGCATTCTGATTCTCCTCACTGCCAAACTCATCCGTGCTGGCCATCTTGTACAGGGGCAGTACATGCAGCTGCTCGTCCTCGGGGATCTGGCCCACGCAGCGATTGTCTTCCTTGGTCAGGGTGCAGACCTGCCCCACACAGGGAGAGAAGATATGGGATTGGAGTCCACGCTTGGAGAGAGGGGCCTGAGCTTCCAAATATGTGACCTCTACACAGTCCTACCACCAGCCATCTCCCTGTCCCATCACGTTCTCCTGAGCACTGAGGTTCTAAACACTAACACCACAGAGCCTGGGAGGCCGCTTTCTGAGGCTCGGTGACATTATCTCTTAGCCCCAGTGTGGCTGACCTGGGACCAGGGTGCTGCACTCTGCCACATCAGTAACCTTCTCCCTGAAACCTGACCGATCACCGCCTTTGCTTCCAAGGTAATCTTTCTTTTTATTAAAAATAACCTCAGGCTGGGCAGTGGTGGCACACGCCTTTGATCCCAGCACTTGGGAGACAGAGGCAGGCGGATCTCAGGGAGTTCAAAGCTGGCCTGGTCTACAAAGGTGTTCTAGGACAGCCAGGGAAATCCTGTCTCAAAAATTAAAAAAAAGTAAACAATTATATATGCATACACACATATATAATACTTTTGTGTAACTAAATAGGATATTATGCATAGTTTTTTTTAACTTTTTTGAATATAGTAAAAATAAATTCTTTTTTTCTTTTTTCTTTTATGGTTTTTCGAGACAGAGTTCCTCTGTGTAGTTTTGGTGCCTGTCCTGGATCTTGCTCTGTAGACCAAGCTGGCCTGGAACTCAAAGATCTGCCTGGCTCTGCATCCCAAGTGCTGGAAATAAAGGTGTGAACTACCACCACCGGGCGGTACAAATATTTCTTGCATATGAATTTTCTAATTTACTTGATCATAGAGTCTGCCTCAGTTGGAACATTGTGCACCATCAGCCATGATGAGCAATTCAACAACCACACAGATGCCTGATTTGTGGCATGCATGCCCACCCACACACGCTTCCACACAACATACCACTGCTGACCTGTGGCATGTATGCCCACCTACACATGCTTCCACACAACATACCACTGCTGACCTGTGGCATGTATGCCCACCCACACACGCTTCCACACAACATACAACTGCTGACCTGTGGCATGCATGCCCACCCACACACGCTTCCACACAACATACAACTGCTG